TATGTATTTTTTTTAAGTGAAAACTGCTAGGTAACCACTGAAGTAGAGCAGTACAGGGAGCCCCTGTGCACCATTCGCCCTGCTTCCCATGTCCACTTCATCTTATTTTTCAGGCCTGCTGCTGCAGTCAGATCTTTCAAGGGCAGATTCGTTCAGTGACTCGTTCACTGAGGTCAGTTCCCCAAGGGCCTGGACTACGCAGGACGGGGCAGCAAGGGGGCCCAGGTTCTGCCCTTGAGACACTCATGGCCTAGTGGGAGAACAGGGCAGTCATAAAGATTCCATCTTTAGCTTTCTCTGTGTGAGACCGAGCAATTCTCTTAAACTTTCTTCCCAAGAACGACCCTGGCCTTCCCCAAAGGGGCCCCAGTGTATCCCCACAAGCAGCAAGACCATATATTAGGCCTGATTTGGATCTCAGCTGTGGCATTTTGTCAGTATGGAGACATAGCGAGGTCACCAGCCCCTTTGATCCTCATCTGTAAGTTGAATGACAATCCCCAACTCAGAGACTGACAGAGAAAATTGGACAAGAAAGTGACAGTCAAGGCCCTGTCATGACCTCGGCACACAGTAGGTATCCACCAAATGCCCTACCCTCAACGGCCACTCTCCTTAGCCTTTTCTTCCACATTTTTCCACACCACATTAGCTGTGGTGTGGCCACAGCCAATCTCATCACAGTGAGGTACTGACTAATGTGAGCCAGAGGTTACGGCTCACTTCCTGGCTTGTCACATGCTTAGGTTCTCACTAACCTCCAATGGCCCATTTTCTAAGTGACATTCACTGCTGACTCATTTGACTTGTGGTCAGCCCTGAACCCAGGGTCTTTTTCAGCTCTCCCTTTATTCCACCACCACGCCCCAGCTTAGATTTGTGGCTTGGGAGTGGGATCGTTATTGGAGAATATTCTGTTTAGATGGCCCTTCTCAAGGCTCTGAAAGATGCTTGACTGGCCACTTCATGACGGCAAGGGTCTCCTGACCTTTGTGTCCACCTTGATCATTTCTACTTCCCCACCATTTAGAACATTAGAATAGAGAGGTACTTACTAGATACCTGTTGAGTGAATTAATTAGTATTTTAAACTAGACCCTGCCCTTGGAAAGGCAATTAAGCAAAATCTTGAGGTGTCAATCTAACTTTCCAAATACTGAGCTCAGATGGATTCCACAAGGACAAGGTCATGGTGGACCATGGCCTATGGATTCAGACTTAGGCATGACTCCCATCTCTGCTAATCATTAACTTGATGACTTGGAGTAAATTGTTTATAGCTGAGCCTTATTCTCCTCTCTGAAAAGATCATACATATTTGCCAGGTTACTGTGAGAATTAAATGCAAATATAACTGTGAAGACGCCCAGCATGACTAGATTATAATCTTTCTGGAACACCCACCTCCCTTTAAATCCAAATTCTCTCTGGCCATTGTTTCCTTACCACCCCCAGCAAAAACTATACCCTATGTGATCCCCGGCACACTCAGCAAGCATTTGTAAAGCCAGCACCTCAAATTGAGATGCCTACGGGAATCAGGCATGTGTGAAAGAAAGTGAGCTGGGTAGAATTTTAAATGAAGTACCTGTTAATTTTTTTTTTTTTCGGGCCCTCCCTGGTGGTGCGAGGGGTTAAAGCGCAGCACTATGAAGCTGTCTGAAGCTACTGCAGCACAGAGTTAGATCCCCAGTCAGGAAGGTGATCCACATGGTGAGGCAGACCTCTCCTTTTAGTTTCCATTAAATTTTTTTAGTTAACTTTTCATTTTGAAATCACTTTAGACTTGTACCAAAGAAATATAAAAATCATCTAAAGACACCTAAGTTTCCCCAAGTATGACATTTTACATAACCATAGGGCCATTATCAAAACCAAGCATCACTAAAGAATTGGCTCCTAAACAGTAGGTCTTACTCAGACCCCATCAGCTGGAATCCTTTCTCTGCTCCTGACATGTCTGATCAGTCCTCTTCTGGTGTGTGGCAATTCCTTAGCCTTCTCTTGCATGATCTTGACACTTTGGACAAATGCTAGCTAATTATTTTGTAGATTGACCTTCAGCTTGGACTTGTTTGTCCTTTTCTCAAGATGAGTCTGAGGTGGTATGGTTTGAGCAAGCTCTCATAGAAGTGACGCTGTGCTGTCCCCATTGCATCACTTCAGGAGGCACGTGGTGGCACATGACGTCTCCTGGGTGAACCTCACTTTGGTCACTGCCAAAGTGGTATCTGTCAAGTGTCTCCTTCATGAAGTAACTCTTTGTTCCTTTGTCATTAATAAGGACTTTGTGGGGTGGTATTTGGAAGGCATGTTAACATTCCTGCTTCTCATTACACTTTTGCTTTATTTCTTTATATAGCTTTGTGACTTCTCTTTTATCCACTGGGCTATCCTATATTGCTGTGATTATTTTAAGACTAACATTGTGCCTTCTTTGACTGGTGGAAATCCCTTTGAGCTGGCTCCTCAGTCCCTTTGATATGGGCCCATCTTTCCTTGATGACTCTCTGGCTTTCAGACCCAAGAAGATGCTCCCAGTTCATGTCCTGTTTTCCCTGCCCAATCCTGGAGTTAGCTGTTTCTGCACAGAGTTCTAGATCTTTAATAGCTAGATGCACTCATTGCTTTGTGGACTCTCTCTGTGGAAAGAGCTAGGAAATAGATGTGTGTGTGATGTGTGGATGCAGCACACATACTTACACAGAATTCAGCACTTGCGTATGTTGAAAGTCTTAAATTCACACCGATACCTCCATTTCACTCTAATAAACCAGAGGATTTCTTCTCCTTATTTATACCTCCCAACAGTAAGCCACCTGGCCCCCATTATCCTCACTATCTCCATATTCCATCAGTCCCCCAGTGTGTAACCACTTCCCATCTTCTCACTTCACCTTACTGGGTTCTGACACTCCCATGCCTCTGCTCAATTCAAACATCACCTCCTGCAGAGAGCTTCACACACTACCCCAGGCCAAGATCGCTGCCTTTCCTGGGTTCTTCCCAGAATCTCCAGCAAATATGGGTACACCTCTTTTGTCTCTTCTGCTAAACTACTGGCACGCCACTGACTTCCACCTCTGTGTCCCTAGTGCTGAAAAGAGGGCCTGGCACATAGAGGGTGCTCATAATTACTAGTTTGGTGAGTGTTAACAGCCGCAGACACCCACATAGCACTTCCAGGTTTAATTGCTTTGTCCACACTAAGTCATCTGGTCCTAACACCTGTCCTGGGAGAGCGTTATTAATGTGCTGCCCAATTTTACAGCCAGAGGAACTGAGGCGCAGAGTGACTTGCACAGTGGTAGAGCCACCTTTGAACCAGCACACTGACTCCATAGTATATCCTCTTACCTCTAATATGCACCCTAAAGTTAAAGGAACAAGAGGGGTGAGTGGGCAAAATAGGTGCTTGTGTGTGTGTGTGTGTGTGTGTGCGTGCGCGCCCTCCTCCCCCACATCACACTCCCAGCCCATTTCTAGTGTCCCTAGGGGCTGAAACACAGGCAGGTAGGAGCTGATCAGGCTGGAAAGTGGCATCCTTGAACTTGGCAGCCCACAGGAAGTTGTCTCCCCTGAAGTCTTAGGAAACAGTGCTCAAGTCCCATGTAATTAGAATAAGCAGACAAGAGCCAAGTCAGATCTTATGAAAGATTTCCAAGCCATTGCATTGAGGCTTATCAGGACTCACATTGTTTCCCAATCACCGGAGAGGGGAGAGGAAGCATAGGCCCTCCTGTCACCCCTGGGCCATGTTCTACCAGAGAGCCTGGAACACTGTGTGAATTGGAGCTCTGCGGGTAGCACTCAGCTGTGAGAGAGCTGTCTGCTCCTGGGTCAGGGTCAGGTTCGAGTACAGGAAAGCTCAGTGTGTGAGAGGCCTCCCCTGTGAGCGCTGGGTGTCAGAGCCACCACCATCCTGTCTCCTTTCAGCAGTCCAGCAGCCTCCAGTAGTAGTAGCCCCGAGTTTCAGAGGAGGACGCTGAGGCTCAAAGAAGTGAGGTTGCTGGCCTGGGTCCCACAGACAGGAAGAGGAACAGCCATAATCTGAGGCCGGACAGGCTGACCTGAGGCCATGCCTCTGAAACAGCTAGCCAGAACCATACCCAGGCCTGTCTAACTCCAGAGCCCCGTGTTCTCCCCTCTCACTCGACAACTTCCCTCTGCTTTAGAGGGATCTGTCTACTGCTGGGGAGGAAAACACTGGGGTGCAGGGGGAAGCCAGAGCTGTCAGGAGCTGATGCTGGAACTGTGGGCTCCAGGCAGGATTTTACGTTAAACCTCCTGCCTTGAAGTTAAGAATCTTCAAGAAGTAGACTGCTGGAGCCTGGGAAGGGGGGGAATGGAAACAAGAGGAGGCGGTGGAGGCGGAAAGGGAAGGAGGGGGTGGAGAGGTGACTTCAGGCAGCGATGCAGCCCCGTCACAGAGCTCAGGAGAGAATGCATTTCCCTGTTCCAACCAGCGTCAGAGAAACCCACACTGCCTCAGTCTGTTCCCCCACAAATGCTTGCTGAGTGCCTCCTAAGCATTATGCTAGGGTCTGGGACATGGTGGGGGGCAACCAAGAAACAGCCACGTGAGGGGTCAGGGTGGCTTCAGGTGGTTATCGTGTTTGTATAAGAGCAGTGTGGGGAACAGGGGTCCCATCAGAAGGGGTGTCCCTCAGAGCTGTTGGAGCACCTGGTACTGAAGAACCATAGTTTACCCACCCAGAGAACATGCTTGCACCATCCCATCTCCACCCCTGTCCCCCTTCATTTCCCAAGATCCACCCTTCATTCCTACCTCACCCCTGTCCCCTTTGCTCTCCACAGGTTTGACATCTACAGGAAGGTGCCCAAGGACCTTACGCAGCCAACGTACACTGGGGCCATTAGTGAGTAGCCACCCTTCTTGCTCTTGCCCCTCCCCCCACCTTGTGCAGAACAGCTGGGCCTGGAGAAAAGAATGAAAGACGGGAGGAGGGAGGAAATGAGGGCTCTATATGATTCCTCGCTTTGTCTCTGTTCTCACCATAACCCTGCAAGGGGAAGGCGTCACCTAATGCTGGGAGGACATGCCAGAGATCAATAGTAGCTGCCCCAGAAGAGGAAGCAGGCTTAGAAGTGGGAGCGAGGCTGACTTTGCTCTTTATACCTTTCAGACTGTTTGAGTTTTTGACATAAGCACATCTTTACCTATTTCAAAAAAAAAAATCATCTCACCTAGATTTTGGTCTCTAAATTCAATAAAAGAACTCAGGGCTCCTTGGAGGAATGGCTGCATGTGGGGCTGAGGCAGGAAGAGGACAGAGTGAGCCTGGAACACTTTGTGCCAGAAAGCAGAGAAAAAAGCATGGGGGTGTGTCAGCAGGACACAGAGCCACCCCGAGAGAGACAAAGACCAATGCTGGGGAAACCTGAGTCACAAAAGAAATAATAGTGTTATTGGCCTGGAGCTCAAAGAACTTAGAAAAAGGTCTACTGTTTTCTACTGATAGAAATGAGAGGGAGCAGGAATGAATCTTCCTTCCAGAAGAATTCCAGTTAAAACACATGGACATGTCTCCTCCAGGAGCTTAATTCTCCCTTCCTGGAGTGTGGGCTGAACCTGATGACTCATTGCCAAAGAGTAGAGAATGGAAGGGACAGTAGTAATTTCGCCGTGGAGAACCCAGAAAAAATACCCTTAAGCCAGTGATGGATGTTGGTTAACCAACCAATGAGAAGTCCCATGGGTGCCACCACCCCCTATAAGAGGTGATGAGAAGGGCACCTCACCTCTTGGGGATGGTCCCCAAAAGACCCAACCCAGTGTCTTCATAAGATATCAAATAACCCCTCTTTTTGTTGTTGTTTAATATTTATTTATTTATGCTTACAGAACTGGAGTACAGGCCAGAAGTGTGGTAGGTGAGAGGATTCACCAGAGGCAGAGTGGGGAGCAGAACAGACAGAACTACTGAAATAATACTGCCGAGGGGAACTGTGGGTCAGGAGAAGTCTGCTGGGCCATGTGGGTCATCTCCATGACCAAGAATCAAACTTGTGCTGCAGTGGCTTTAGAAAGCTTCATAATGCGGTGCTGTTTTAAACCATTGCGCCACCAGGGAGAGCCCAAACCCCCTTTGTTTTTTAGATCGGGGACATTCATTGGGACATGGGACCAGTGCTGTTCAAAAATAGCAAGGTCTTGAAAAACTGAGAAGCTATTGCAGATTCAGAACCAAACGCATGATGACGATAGCACAACGGGATCCTGATAGGATCTGAAAACAGAAAAAGGGCCTGAGCAGGAAAATTGGGGAAGTTGAAGAGTCTGGAGTTAACACCGTCATATACAACTGTACATTGTACGATGGTTGATTGGCTCATTTCGACACACGCACAGTGGTTATGTAACATGGAAACACAAAGGACTTCTGGTGAAGGGTCCATGGGAACTCTGGACTATATTTCCATCCATTATTATACCGCAATAAAGATGTCTCTTCAAAATGAAACAAAAACCAAAAGTGCCATGCAGATAGAAATGCTTTACTCCCCTTTTCCTGGGGAGATAATGAGCTCATGGAAGTGAGGTGACTTGTCTGAAGTTCCATAGCTTGCAAAGGGCCTCCCTGCACCTGCCTGGCCTCCCTAGGGCGGCAGAGATGTGGGAGAGGGAGGGTGGGACCCTTCCCATGGACTATCCTTTGAGCTAAGGCCTAGGACTGATACGTCAGTCAGAGTCCATTGCTGCTCCCAGGGCAGACCACTGTCAGGTAGGAGGCGACCTTAGGGATCCCCTCACCATAACTGGCCCTGCCCAGCTCTCCCTCCTTCCAGTGTGGCTCACTGAAGCTGTGAGTGCCTGCTCCAGCCCTGGCTCTGTGCATCCCTGGAGAAGGGAACAGAGCAGCCAGGATAGAGACTACAGGTCCTGCAGGCTCTGGGGGCCTCGGAGCTGTGTTCATTGTCCCATCTGGGTGAACTTAGACAAGTCATTTCACCTTTCTGAGCACCCTGATGTGGGGATTAAGTGAGGCTATGCTTGGCAAGTCTGGGATACGTGCTTAGTGTGTGGTCAGCCTGGACCACACTCCTCCTTTTCTCCCTGAATGTCTTGAAACCCCTCAGCCTGTGAGGATCTGTGACAATAGCAGCTGAGACTGTCTTGATCCCCACAGAAAGAGCATTCAGGGTATGTAGAAGGAAAGGGGTTCTGGTTTGTCTGTTTAATTAGTTTGTGAACTTGGTAAAAAAACAAATTCAAATGAAGCTTCCTGCCCCTTCACCACCAACAGTTCAAGCCTCTTCTCTACAATCTCTCCCTTATCAGCTTAACAATCAGATGTGTGTCCCAGAGTTTTTAAAAATTACATTCAAGCTTTGATATATTGTTGCTTTAAGCACCAGTGGATGCATCCACACCCCAGTCTTCCCTGCCCTTTTCTCCGCTGATATATCCCACACACATTTGTCACTGACACATAAAAGGCCACCACCTTTGCTCCAGCTGTGATTATGTGACCAGCCCCCTGCGGGTGGATGTCCCAATTGTAGTTCACTGCTATTACGTCTGCCTATTTTTATGTCCTTGTGTCATGTCCTTATAAGGGAATGTCCCTAGAAGAGGAATGACTGGGTCAGAGGGCATGTGCATTGTAAAAATCAAAAGGTGCTAGTGGCCCTCTAGGGAAGAGGCCGATTGCACACCCCCCACAGCATGCCAGGTGGCAAATCTTGAGGAGTGGCGAGGCTGAGGAAGCCGTTAGCCCCTGCATGGTGATTGAATATTTATTCGCCAGGTCCTGGGTCCAGGCCCCGTGGCCACGCTGATGAACAGGCTTCGGTCTCTGTCTGAGGCACACATGTGTGGTTGAGCAGGGCGGGCAGACACAGAAACACACCATCTCATTGCGTCTCATCCCTGAAGGAACTGGTGGGGCTGCTAATGACTCAGGTCAGGATTTGAATTTCGCCTCCTCTATTTAAGTGGCTGTGTGGCCTTGGACAAGATCCTTGGTTTCCCAGAGCCTTGGGTTGAGTGCCTCGTTGCAGCTGCACCAGGGTTCCCCCTCACCAGCCTTCTTTCGGGGTTACATTCCTGTTCTACAGCGCCTGAGTCAGCTTCAGAAGAAGTCTGAAGTCAGGGAGTCTTCGTGTCCTGCCCAAACATGGATTAAAAAACCTTCCTCCAACCTTTGGTTTCAGAAGGTCTTTCTGGTTGCAACATTTCCTACCTGCCTTCATGTCTTGCATCCACTCTACTCAGTAATATTTTTTCCACTCCTTCTCTGAGCCAGGCTCTGTGCTGCTAGACCAGCAGCCACTGGGAGGCACTGGCCTCCCAGTCTGGGGACAGGGTGGTGGGAACTGGCACAGCAACATGAGATCAGGACTTCTAGGCACTTGAGTTCTGGCTGAGCAGACTCTGCTTCTTGTCTGCCTTCTGGGGTGACCAGCTTTGACCCAAGGCTTGAACACAGCACACAGTTTTCAGAAAGAGGCTTATCCAGATCTAACTCCCCGCTGTCTGGATGGAGTTAGAACTTTGGGGTGCTTGCAGGCTTGGGGTATAGAAGGCAATTGAAAGATTTGGATTGACCTAAGTCAACCTTGACCTTCAAAAACATCTCTGTTTTGTGCCTAAGCATCCAGTAGGCTGTTAGGGCTGCATAGAAGGGTGAAAATAATTCTTAAACATGACTCTATAGGATACCGGTCAAAGAAGTTTCAAGATTCCAGGCATGGGCTTCTTTCTCAGGAGTCACTATAACTGCAGTTGGTAATTGGGTAGGGGAAGGGTGTGAGCTGGGAGATTTGGCTTCATAGTTGACCATCGGCAGTGGAAGTGCTTAGCAGCTGAAGGGAATCATCATTTGAAATTAATTTCCATGCCACAATGGCAAACCAAATAAGCTTGACCACTTGGTATAAAGTGAAGCGGCAGCTGTTCAACACAGCTTGCTGAGAAAGGAGGTGTTATCATGCTACTTTTGCCTCACGGAAAAGAAGGGCTGTTATGTCTACACCCATCTGTGTGAGGAAAGACACGGCGGCAGTGGTGGTGCCTCTGAGCTGGGGTTGTGGTCAGGAGGGAGACGGGCTCCCTCGGGCACCTTTTCATACAGTTTTCTTTTTGTGTGCACTTGTTACCTCTGCCTGCCCCCAGGCAAAACCCTTCCTTGTTACAGATACAACTTTTTCAAAGTTTGGAAGAAGGAGGTGTAATTTTCGTTTCTGCCACATTGAGTGTGGTAGAAACTCTGGGGATGACCCTGCCCCACCCTCCCCTTGGAGCCCCAGTTGATGGGGCACTGACTTGAGATGGTACAGGCTCCGGTCCTGTCCCCGGCACCTGTCCAGTGTGTGCCCTGGCAGTTGTTCTTCTCCCTGAGCACTGACTCTTCCTCTCTCTGGTGGGAGTATGAAATGCTGGGGGATCCATTAATGTGGGCCAAGCAGAGCACATAGTAGGTGCCCAGAAAACGCTGCTTCTTTTTCCTCTTCACCCAGGATGTATCTTGACTGTTTGTTGATAGACAATAATAGTAATAATCATGATGGTACCTAACTGATTTCAGCCAGACTCTCAAGAATGTAGCAGGACCATCAAGTGGAACTAGGAGATTTTTATCTTTGCTGGAAACCAAGAATTAACCATTTATCAAACCATGTTTCCCAAATCACCAGTCTCCAAGGCCTCCCTGATACAAGTAATACTCGTATTGTATTACCTAGTAATGAGCTAATACTTGAACCATTGTTGCCTACCAGGCACAGTTCAAGGCCCAGGTCTCTATAGTACGAATGGTCAGACCAGCTCCCACAGGCAGGTACTATTACTGTTGCCATTTTACAGATGAGCAAACTAATGCAAAGAGAGCTTGAGTAACTTATCCAGAGACACATGGTGGGTAGAACCCAGGGGAAGAGAAGCCAGCTTTCCCCGGGGGAGGGGGGGCAAGCTTCCCATCAGAAGGGACATTTGAATTGAGCCTTGGCCTAGAAGGATGAGCATGCAGACAGGATGACCACAGAGGGAAGCGGAGGGAAGCAGAGGAAGGTCGTTCCAGGCAGAGGCCTCGCTTGCAGAGGCAAAGAGACAGAAATGAGACATCCTTAGCAACCAGCATGTGGTCCATGCGGCTGTGTGGTTGGATGTTGGAGGCATGTCAGGAACTGAAGCTGGAGATGAGTTGAGGCCAGATACTGGGGTTACTTGTTATGTCCTGTCCCAAGGAGTGACTCCCAGGCCCCAGGGATGCAAATGCCAACATCACCAAGCAGATTACAGAAACCTGAGCAAAGGTTCAACTCTGGAGCTGAGTTCTACCCTCTGTATTTCAGACTCATAGAGCATTTCTTCAGTTCCATAGAGAATTGCCCCTGCCCGTCAAGTGCAGCGTTTAGTAGCTTCAGTACCTACTTCTAAAAGAAACATGGCAGTGATAATGGTACCCTGGGGGAGGAGGGTAGTGATAAATAGTAGCAGACACTCAGAAGGAGGGAAACAGGAGGGAGTAGTGGGACCTGTGGCAAAATGGTGAGCTGAAACCCCACAGGAACAAGGGCTTGTGTGTTCTGGAGAAGCCAGAAATCTTCTAGAAACTTTTTGGTAAAATCTTCAATTTGGCCCTCCCTGGTGGCGCAGTGGGTTAAAGCACAGCACTGAGAATCTAAAGCCGCTTCCACATGAGTTTGATTCCCGCCTGCCCCGGAGGTGACCACATGGTGTGGCAGACCTCTCCTGACCCGCCCGCTGCTCCCCTCAGCAGTGTACTTCGTCAATCTGCCTGTTCTGCTCCCCACTCTGTCTCTGGTGAAGCCTCTCACCGCCCCTAAGCCTCTGGCCTGTACCCCAGTTCTGTATGCACAAATAAATAAATAAAATTAAAAAAAAAATCTTCAATTTGTTCAATATGCCTCCACTTTTTAAAGTATATATCACTTAATACCAGCCACACGTTTGTGGGACACCAATGTGCAGCCTTTATTTTTGGCAGACCTCTGAGTTAAAGAGCTTTCGTGGAAGACAGCAGGATCTACCCATGTAGGGGGCTGTGCCCAGGCAGGAAGGTCAAAGCAGAACCAAAGGTAGTCTTCCTCTCTGGGAGCCAGGCTACTTCATTTCAAAGCCAAGAATATGGGGGACTTTCCAGTGTCTGGAAAGCCATTGCCCCCTCCATCTAAGCAGCTTTTCTCTGAGGGCAGACACAGAAAGGAGAGTGGCTGGCTTCCCTCCATCAATGCCTTAACTGTCCATTTCTGTGTCCCTTCCAGTCTCTATCTGCTGCTGCCTCTTCATCCTCTTCCTCTTCCTCTCGGAGCTCACCGGATTCATAACGACAGAAGTGTAAGTTCCATCCCCGCAAAGGGGCATTTCAGAACTTTCCAGAACCCAAGGTGAGAAGAGGGAGGGACTCTCAAAGGAGAGAAAAGGAGGCTGGCTGGCTGGCCAGCTGGCTGGATGATGGATGAATGGATAAATGACAAATGGGGGAAGATAGTAGGTTTTGTTTTTTTTAATATAGCAATTTGAATAACTTGGCTAAGTGCTGGCCAGCACAGAGAAACAAGAAAATAGGGAAAGTAGAGAGGCAGAAATTGAGTATGTTTTTTCTAAGAAATCTGAGACTTATTTTTTACTGTATAGCATTTCAAATTCTAGAAATTGAAGGCACATATAAGCCAAAAAACTGGCTTTGGTGATTTTGCTATAACATAACCCAGAAGAAATACTCCCTTTTCATTTTGGGTTGCTTTTCCATCAGTATTTTCAGTGTTCCCACTCTTTGTCATTAACCCCATGTTTTTACATTTCAAATTAAAATATGACTTTGAACACCAAGGGCTGCTGACATCACAAAAAGGGAAAACAATTAAAAATGAGGAGAGCATCCCTAACCTTCCATCCCCCATTTCCCAACCTGTAGCACCTGTCCCCACCCTGTTTGTGAAAAGGGTTTTAAAGTTAGAGCCTAAGTGACTGTGGCTTTGTAAAAGCGGTGGGTAGGGTGGGGGGGGGGGACCTCCTGGTCTCCAGTGAACTCCGTCATCTGCTCATCTTTGCTGTTCCTTTGTTTGACCAGTGGGCATTTTTCCTCTGAATCATCGCAGGGTCATTTCATGTTAAAGCAGGGAGAATTCAGAGAAACGAGAGCCGCTTCCTACCCAAAGTGGAGGCGAGGCCACTGACATCAGAGCCTGGCCCCTCTAGGGCACCCCCTTTCCTCTCCTCGGGCCCACACTCCAGCAGGAACCAGTGTGGGCTTCCTGGCAGCAGCTGACGCAGAGTGAATCTGTCCCTGATTCCTAGAATCATCTGAGGCTGGGCAAATCAGTGAATACTCTGGTGTGTGTAGCTAGAATACCATTGGAATTATTCAGTCATGGCCTCATTGGACACTCTCTGAGATGAAACTGGAGCCGGGAGCTTCCTGCCCCCACCACTGCCCAAGGCTTCCAAGCCTCTTCGTTTCTGTGTTTACAACCTCCAAAGTTATCTCCGGGTTTGGCCACCTATACCCCTATTCAACACTGGAATTTTCTTTATCACTCATGGTTTCCTTTGCTCTTCTCTCAGCCACAAGGCAATAGGAGACTGAAAACATAGCTGCTTAGACCAGGATGGGCCTAGTGGTTATATAAACATTAATATAGGGCATACATAATCCTCAGAAAGCTCTGGAATGTAGTAGTCTCCGCTTTAAGAAGAGGAAACTGAGGCACAGAGTGCCATGGGATCACATTCATGCAGTTAAGAAATGGTTCCTGAGGTATGTTGTCCTGGCTTCCCCTTTACTTTTTTCTTAGTTGTAGCTTCCTGAGCACGTCATATGGTACAAGAGAGTTTGCCTACCTACCCTGTCCCTCTGATCCTGCTGATAACAGGATCAGGGGTGAGGGGTTGTCAGGGCACAGTGAGGGAAGCACTGCTGTTGCGGGGTTGTCAGGGCACAGTGGCGGAAAGGGCCCTGGACCATCGGGAGACCCACACCCAGGAGCGGTCTCTGTTGCATTATTGCTTTGCCCTGTGAGCCCAGGCAAGTTGCCAAACTTCTCTGGCTCTCAGTGTTGCCAACCAAACAAGGGAGAAGGAAGGCAGATCAAAGTCAAAGCTCCCTTTCAGGTCCAGGAGGCTTGCCTGCTTCCCGCAACATGATTCTCTGACTACTCAAGGGTCACAGAAGGGACTTCAAGCCCTCTCAACCCCCAGGCCATAATGGGGAGTTCTCTCAGAGTCCAATGTCTCCCCGCCCTGTGCACTTTTGGGCTGAGAAGCCACTGGGCTTCTCAGGTGTCACTGTGAAAGGTAGGGAGAGCAGCAAGAGATTGAGTCCTGCTGGCATTATACAGGACCTACTGTATGCCAGTCTCTCCCTCTAGGGAGGAAGAGCTCTCCCTCCCCTGGGAGAGAAGCTGCTGTGCAGGCTCCAAATTTTCTGAGCAAGTTGAGAGCGATACACATATGTAGCCCTGTAAGTAGGCAGTCCCAGCAGTGTCCCAGGCACTAGCAAGTGCAAAGGCCCTGGGGTAGGACTTACTTGGTATGTGTAAGAGCAGCTAGCCAGTTGGTATGGCTAGAGCCAAGTGAGCAGTCAGGAAAAGGTGGAATGGAGTCTGGCCAGACTAGTACTCTGCAGTATGTTAATCAGAACCCTCCTTGGTTCTGAGCTCCAAAGTCAGGGACCATGTATGCCTTATGCGCTGCTGTGTGGTTCCATGCTCAGAGAACAGTAGACTCAGATCCTCAGCAAATCAACTTACAATGTATTAATTAGGGAGAAGGGCTCTGAGTTTAAAAAAAAAAATCAGGGGAAAAAAGAAGGTCAGTGATATTTTGTGGGGCTTAAAACAAGTTTGTTTTCCTGCAAGGTACTTCACATAGCACCTGATATATTTAATGTCACTAGATCATATCTCTTCATGCATTTCATATTCATTTCCCAGCTAACACTACAAAAGCAGTAAGGCATGGATTAAGGGCTCCTGGAGTGTTAATTTCCTGGTCCCCTCCCTTGAGCTCAGACCAGCCTCCCTGACGCCCTATGACATTGTGGGGCAGCTTATTAAACCTCAGTCAGCGGGGCCAATATCCAGGTGGAGCACTGAGGAGGTGGGCCCAGGCAGGTAGGTTAGGACGTCATTGGCGCTTATGACTTGTAAGGTCAGAACACACCTGCCGTCTGCCTGTGAGCAAACTGAGAGCCACTCCAGCAGCCTGGGACGGCCCCCTATTTCTGTTTACCGAGGGCAGGGCTCCTTCCTTCCTGGGAGCACAGCACGTTCTCACTGCTCTGCCCCTCCCCCTTCTGCAGGCTTTGCCCAGCTCCTGGGAGCATCCTGGACACTCTGGTCCCCCCACAGTCCTCATGGGGTGTTTTCCTGGCACCCAGCCCCATGTTCAGTAAGCCCTTCATCCTTTAGTGTGAATGCCTGGAGGGAGGGCGGGAGTCAGGGATGGGAAGAGAGGCCGGCCCTTGTGAGCTGGGACAGAGCTCCGCGGACCACCATGCAGTGACCCTAACACCCCTCCCTGCTGCCACGTGACCCTGGTGCAGGAGTGGGTGAGGCCTGAGGACTGCACAGGAAAATCCAGCTGAGAAAGGATAGCTTCTTCGGGGTCTCCTTCCTAGCAGAAGCTTCTCTGACCCCAGGGAAGCCCTCCCACTTCAGGAAGAGCCCAAGGTCACAGCTCACCCTCCCTGGCCCACAGCAGGTGCCCCCTCCCCCCACCCCCACCCCCCGAGATTATAACCCCTGGAAACGAGGTCACTGCTGGTTGGGTTAGCTGGTTGGGTCAGCACTGCTCCACACCGGCCTGTGGCTATCCGGGATTTCAGATGCTGTTCTGTCCAGCCCTGCGGGGAGGGAGGCCTATTGGTATGGGTGGGTAGATTCCAGGCCATCCATTATTACCCTTGGAAAAGTGGCCCACGGGTGCTCAGTGGCTCTGTGCTTCCAGGGCATCAGCCCCCTCCTTGAAGAGTCTCTGTGCTTGGAGAATTCAGCTGCAGAACATTCCAGCCTTTCACTCCCCTGGCCCTGGCTACTCTTAATTAGTCACCTGATGAGGATTTGTAATAAGAAAATGTAGTAACGGGAACTGTCCATTGATAATTGGTAGCATAAAGCAACACGTTATAATTGCCAGTCATGATTTATAGCAGGCAACCACATACCAGCCTCCCCCACCCCTCCTACCACTGATCAGTCATCATCCCAAAACCCCTTGAGGTAGATCCTACTCATAGTGCTGGCCCCTCTTTATAACTGGGGAAAATGAGGCACCATGCAGCTAAAATCATAAAAAGGTTATTAAATGGTGGAACTGCATCAAAGCCAGATCTGTCTGAGCCTGGAGCCCACTCGGTAGCCCACCCTGCCATACCACCCTTTTCTGCCCAGAGCATTTTGGAGCCCCAAGCACCTGGGAGCTGCTGTTTTTCAGTCAGAAGAGTTGATGGGAAAACTTACAGCCTTCCAGGGTGAGGTGATCGAGCAGGTGGGTCACTGCTCACTCAGGGGGATCTCGGAGGTCACCTTTAACCCACCACAGACCAAGTGGGGCGGCCAGTAGCTTAACAAGAGGAGGGAGGTGGCTATTTCGTCTGATCCCAGGTTACCCACCTGAGGCCTGGATAGCGAGCCAGGTTCCGTCAGAAGAGCCACCATTATCCCGTGAAGGAGCAGCAGCAGGCCCGGAGACTTCTGGGCAGTGACAGGTCGGGCTCTGCTGACCTTCGTATTCAATCATTAAGATGGGTTTGGGGCACTGAGGAGCCTGGGCCATGGCCCAAGGCGAGGGTTGAGGTACTCCTAGGGTGATGACTGTCGGACAGGGGTGGGGGGAAGACCAGGTGACCACAAAGGGATGATATGGGGGCAACCTCCTTGCAGGTGATAGACACCCTTACTTATACCTGGACCGGCCAGGACTGAAAAGCCAAGGTCCCTGAGTGCTGGCTTGCATAGCTGTTCCTCCCACCCGACTCTCCCCAAGCCCTTGTTGAGAGCCCCACTGCTGTGAAAGTTTCCATTAAATCAAATTATTAAGCATGGAGGTCAGCGACTTTGGGCAGGAATCTGAACTATTCAAGTGCTCTTCTAAAAGCAAATAAAATTGTTTTCCGTAGATGTCATAGGACTCACGCCTCCGTCTAGAATTTCAAGGCCCTCCCTTACATTCCACCTACGCTCCCCCTTCCTAAACCTCCCCAGTCTCTTTCTTTCTCTCTCCCTACATGGCCACTGACCATCGACCCCCACACAATGCAGCCCCACTCCCTGACAGGGGCTGGCGTCCCCCCCAGCACACATCACTTGCCTCCCCGTTTGTTCCACAGAAGTGGT